GCTTTGATAGTCGTTTCAGTTCCTCTCAGTGCCGTTGTTCTAATTTTCTGCTGTTACATGCTTTTCTGACCTTTGACTTCCTTATTCTAGTATTCAGGGTCCAAATTTTCTCAGTACTTTATGTGGCACAAAATGTTGGATGCTCTCGAATATTATGTCCTTGAAATCATTCCACATCTCCTCGACACATCTCCCATTGCTTGCCCATATTGCGAATTTATCCCCGAGGAAGGTTTGTAATCCTAAAACGTTTGTATCTATGGATAATAAATTGTTCAAAAGTATTTCAAAATTAATGTACTTCAACCTCATTTCATGCAATTTAATACAATCATAATATTTAATGTAATATATTACATCAACCTATTTGCAATGCAATAGAAATGGGTCATTTCAGCCTTTAATGTTACAAAAGATGGAACGCCCCATTAATTTCCTCTTTCACCCAGTTAAAAATGATAACACAAAGTAAAGACGAACGTGTGTCAAGTATTTCTGCTGTGGGGAGGTTAAGTTGAAGAAATGTTCACCGTTATCCAGAACAGCCACTGACTACCCGTACAATGTCAAGGATCATACAGAGGTAATCTTCGCTGCTTGCAGCAAGACCACAATCAATTCCGCAACATCGTTCCTTTGCGTCTACAGAATCGGTGGAAACGGCGAGCATATCTCGTAACATGCGCATCAAAATTCCAATACAGCCAGCGATTCCAAAGTTACAGGACACATTATTTAATTTCCATACTTCAGTACCAGCAATGCAACCAACCTGGGAGACACGAGGATGCCGAAAACCATTCTACCATTACAGAACCACTTGTTACACTGTATCGGCCAGCCTCACAGCACAACCACCGAGTGCATGGGGGCAGGCTGGGGTACCACCCGAGTTCTCCACACCAGCCACGGTAGTAAATGTGGCAGCAACATGCAGCTCACAATGTAGACAGCACTTGGGATGGGTGGGATGGAGCCAAATGGGTACAGCCAGAGCCCACGGCGGGCCGCGTCTCGCAAGTGATGGCTGAGGATTGCAACTACAAAGATCCACGATAAGCGATGCAGTGACGGCCAGCAGAAGATATGCGCCACCATCACCATTATTCCAGAGACTGCCAGCGGGACGGACGTGCAGTGCAAGAAAGGACGCGAAGACAGGCGCAGGGCATCCTACAGGCCACATACAAAATAAATGCTTCAGTTAGCAATCTGAAAGAGCCAACGAATGCCGCATCACAGTTCTTTAACCCAAATAACTGACAAATTTACTTCGGTTTCAAATATAATTATAAACACAGTGAAATCATCACGTCATGACGCTTTGCTGGCACACAACAGGAACAGCTGAGGAAAATCTGACAAAATGTGCTCTAGGTACTTCTAAATATAAGAATACACGCTAGACATGAAAATTACTAACTACGCAACCTACAGCTTCAAATACCTTCATTATTCTGAATTCAAAGCACGCAGTACCTCAATCCTGAGAGACCTAGCAGCGGCAAAGTGATCCAGATCGATTGCCGAGGCAAGCAGTCCACATAAAAGAACTTCCCAGAGGCGAGCAGTGACGGAGAGGTCTGCCAAGTGAACTGTGACAATGTGCCAGCTGAGTAGGCCGACGGCACCATGGGTGAAGTTGTCGGCTACTGCTCGCACAACCCGCGGCAGGGAATTCTGTGCCACCACGTGGTCTCCCAGCAATGCTACTAGTCCCACGCACAATGTGGCCACAGTCCTATTCATCCATATCATCCACAGCATTATATCGCAGTTTTAAGGTTGTGGCTGGCATTTCCATCACATTCTGTATCCAAACAGGAACGTTCCTTTAAAATGTGTGTAGTACAACACAAGCCGCCCCCCACATTAATACACCAACCATGCGTAACTTTAATGGGTGCTGGAAACATCCACAGCCACAAAAAAAAGGACAAACTTTATTTTATATGCGACTTATCAGGGACTGAACAAAATGCATCTTGGAAAACGATAGTTCGGGGAACGATGGACAGAGGTTTCACTGCAATAGCACACAACGAACAAACAATGAGTAAACTGACATCAAGACTGCCCCAAAGCTGCAAGTTCTAGACAGTGGGTACAGATGACTCACATTTCAAATTCAAACTGCGCGCACAGTAATTCCAGAGATGCCAGTTCGTTAAGACATTCCACATATTTTATGGACACCAAAGGTGTTTTGCCATGATTACAAGTCTATTGTGGTCCCTTATCCTGAGCCAAATGAAATCGCCCACAGTCAATAACCGTTTTTAAAGAACCTCCATAATAACATCCCACCTACACCAAAGTTTCAGAAGCAGTCTTCGCTTTAGGTTCTGCAACCAAGACCCTAAAACCACGTATACACTTTCACCCAATGTCCTACACGTGCCCCACCCATTTCATCACACACGATAAAAATAAACAGCAATTTGGAGCTCAAACACCTTCAAAATACGCTCTTTCCTTTACATGAGAGACCAAGTTCCGCACCCTTACAAAACATAAGGTACTATGGCAGCAATTTGGAGCTCAAACACCCGCAATATACGCTCTTTCCTTAACATGAGAGACCAAGTTCTGCACCCTTACAAAACATAAGGTACTATGAAGGAACTGTTTATTCAAATGTTCAAAATTTCAGACAGACAAATAAATATTCTGAACCGCACGGTAGTAAGCATTGCTCAAATTTAATATTCTCTTTCTTTCTTCATGAATGCTACTTTCATTGAAATATTCTGAAGTGCACGGTAGTAAGCATTGCTCAAATTTAATATTCTCTTTCTTTCTTCATGAATGCTACTTTCATTTGTTAAACTCTCGAACTCTGCCACATTATCAACATCTGTTAATTAAGATGAGTTTTTCAAGGCAGTGAAAATGTGCATTGTGGTCCTCTAAGCTGCGACAACTTCATACAACATTCGGCACTTCCACGCGAACAGTGGAGAAAATACATCGCTCCAGAAAACTGGTATCCACCTACGATACCACACGGCAATCCACGACCCGGAAGACCATAATTAGGATAAACTATTGAGTTTTTATACAAAACAAATTTCTCTTTTTCCTCTGCATGCAAATCTCATGTTATCATTAGGGACACAGAAAGGGCAGACAAGGGACTTCTCGACTACCTGAGATTCTCTCCACAGCCTCCAGTGCCACTACGAGGCTTCACGACTGGCAATTTCCATTAGCAGCCTCAGTTATTTTAACCTTTACTGTACTGGAATAGCATATTTAAATTTCCATGTCAAGGCTCCATTTAGCTCCAGTGTCAGCGCAATGCTCGGCCATGTGGACCATACCTAGGCAAACAGTATCACACAGTGCTACCAAAATTAACCTCAGTGGGAATAGCTTTTTTAAATTTCCATGTCAAGGCTGCATTTAGCTCCAGTGTTAGCGCAATGCTCGGCCATGTGGACCGCACGTAAGGCATGAATAGGCAAACTACAACATTATTATTAACAGTGTCACACAGTGCTACCAAAATTAACCTCAGCGTGGCTGTGCTCCCTTCAGAAAATAAGTCCTCACAATCAATAGGCAGAGGTGTCAGAATATCATTTGATTTTATCATCACAAGAAGCACAGTAATGCCAACACTGAAAAATAGACCTAAAGTCTGTAACATCTTCAGACGACAAGTTTTGAAAATGTTTCTATGGAGCAGACTGCATCAAGTAACGCTGCTTCTGAGCGCATGCAAAAAGTAATGACCGAATGGAGGCAAAGTTCTACTGCACTTAACAGAGTCATTACATCAAGGCAAGTGGGAGGGGAAAATTGACAGTGGAACCACGGTTCCCGAGAGTCCGACGTAAATACGTAATGTTATCATTCAGCTCTTTCCGCAATAACGAAAGCGGATTGTCGATGGCAGTAATGTAACACAACAATACCGAGTAAACAGATGACGCAACAATTAGTTTCTTAGGTAACATAACAATTCACTTGGAGTTCATATAAAAGCTGACCATTCTCGTCGTAATAATTCAGCTTTTTCCGCAATAACGAAAGAGCATTGTCGACGGCAGTAATGTAACACAACAATACCGAGTAAACAGATGACGCAACAATTAGTTCAAAAAGAAAACAAGCCCCACTGAGAATTGAATTCCAGCGTCAAACACCGGTCGCCCTACTGACTGACAACTCCCACCCCACCAAACTACAAAATTAATTGTTCATTGCCAGAAATTGTCTTCAGACAGGAAGCCTCTAAAATTAGTAAGTGCCCGACACGGAAGTACTTCATTACATCACCTCCTGAGGAACCTCATCTGAGTTACACCTTCCATTAATTAAACTTCATGAAATACAAAACACTGTAAAGCTGTAATTTTTAATGGAATATGAAACATTTCCATATACGCTCTTCGCTAATTTTGAACTCTGAATGCTACCACCTAATTACGAAATAAAAACACCAGACAAGTCTTGCCGTAAATGTTGTCTACAGACAATGCCAGCATTAACGAGATGTTTCATAAGCAAAATTTTGCGGCCATTTCTCACCTGAGTATCTTCTGATTTGTCGGCTAGAGGGCTCTAGCAGACAAATCATAAATGAGTGGAAATTGTGCGGAGGCAGCGCGGCTAACATAAGACATTTTTAAAAAAACACGAGTTTAGGGGAGTGTGAATTGCATAAAGTCGATACCAAATTTAATCCAAATCCATTCAGCAGGTCTCACACTGAATAATGTGGACAGACAGACATCATCAGCCCTGTGTACATTAATTTTGTGAACATAATGGAAAGAAAGCATAACGAGCCATCACAACGGCCACGTACCTGTTCAGGTGTCTCCCATGACAAGTCGGGCGTTCTCTTCACCCCGTGGCTGCAGCAAGTAACCTGGTGGAGAACACCAGCAGCATTAGCAGTAGCCTCACAAGCCTTACCAACTCAAACACGAGAGAAAGTGCACGTCCTTCAGATTTCATTGTCCGCATAATTAGTCAGACAAGAGGTGTCAGAAAAGTGTAAATGACTCATCACAGGAAGACATCTCAGCACTACTGAGGCACGAGAGCTGTTTGTCAACTAGATTCTAATGGGTCACTGCATGGCATGCATAAAATTTACCCTTTATGGAACTGATATATGAACAGCCCGTTTCCAGAATGAGCAGTTGAAGGGGTAAAGCCAAACCCACACAGTTAATTCTCCAGCCCTTTTAATTATTCCAGAACTGAGCTACAGAGTAGCAAGCATCCTCGAAATATTCTGTCACTTTTGCTTCTCGGCACATACAATTTTAATTTGCCGTCCATTACCATCCTCGATCGCCGGAATATTTTCCATTTCCCATACGCTGTTTTTCATACTTGTAGAAATCAGTCCAGCATTTACATTAACTTCTTAATATTGACCTTAAAAATGCTTCTTGACAATTTTGTTTTTCTAATAGCAACTGCTTTGATAGTCGTTTCAGTTCCTCTCAGTGCCGTTGTTCTAATTTTCTGCTGTTACATGCTTTTCTGACCTTTGACTTCCTTATTCTAGTATTCAGGGTCCAAATTTTCTCAGTACTTTATGTGGCACAAAATGTTGGATGCTCTCGAATATTATGTCCTTGAAATCATTCCACATCTCCTCGACACATCTCCCATTGCTTGCCCATATTGCGAATTTATCCCCGAGGAAGGTTTGTAATCCTAAAACGTTTGTATCTATGGATAATAAATTGTTCAAAAGTATTTCAAAATTAATGTACTTCAACCTCATTTCATGCAATTTAATACAATCATAATATTTAATGTAATATATTACATCAACCTATTTGCAATGCAATAGAAATGGGTCATTTCAGCCTTTAATGTTACAAAAGATGGAACGCCCCATTAATTTCCTCTTTCACCCAGTTAAAAATGATAACACAAAGTAAAGACGAACGTGTGTCAAGTATTTCTGCTGTGGGGAGGTTAAGTTGAAGAAATGTTCACCGTTATCCAGAACAGCCACTGACTACCCGTACAATGTCAAGGATCATACAGAGGTAACCGTCGCTGCTTGCACCAAGACCACAATCAATTCCGCAACATCGTTCCTTTGCGTCTACAGAATCGGTGGAAACGGCGAGCATATCTCGTAACATGCGCATCAAAATTCCAATACAGCCAGCGATTCCAAAGTTACAGGACACATTATTTAATTTCCATACTTCAGTACCAGCAATGCAACCAACCTGGGAGACACGAGGATGCCGAAAACCATTCTACCATTACAGAACCACTTGTTACACTGTATCGGCCAGCCTCACAGCACAACCACCGAGTGCATGGGGGCAGGCTGGGGTACCACCCGAGTTCTCCACCCCAGCCACGGTAGTAAATGTGGCAGCAACATGCAGCTCACAATGTAGACAGCACTTGGGATGGGTGGGATGGAGCCAAATGGGTACAGCCAGAGCCCACGGCGGGCCGCGTCTCGCAAGTGATGGCTGAGGATTGCAACTACAAAGATCCACGATAAGCGATGCAGTGACGGCCAGCAGAAGATATGCGCCACCATCACCATTATTCCAGAGACTGCCAGCGGGACGGACGTGCAGTGCAAGAAAGGACGCGAAGACAGGCGCAGGGCATCCTACAGGCCACATACAAAATAAATGCTTCAGTTAGCAATCTGAAAGAGCCAACGAATGCCCCATCACAGTTCTTTAACCCAAATAACTGACAAATTTACTTCGGTTTCAAATATAATTATAAACACAGTGAAATCATCACGTCATGACGCTTTGCTGGCACACAACAGGAACAGCTGAGGAAAATCTGACAAAATGTGCCCTAGGTACTTCTAAATATAAGAATACACGCTAGACATGAAAATTACTAACTACGCAACCTACAGCTTCAAATACCTTCATTATTCTGAATTCAAAGCACGCAGTACCTCAATCCTGAGAGACCTAGCAGCGGCAAAGTGATCCAGATCGATTGCCGAGGCAAGCAGTCCACATAAAAGAACTTCCCAGAGGCGAGCAGTGACGGAGAGGTCTGCCAAGTGAACTGTGACAATGTGCCAGCTGAGTAGGCCGACGGCACCATGGGTGAAGTTGTCGGCTACTGCTCGCACAACCCGCGGCAGGGAATTCTGTGCCACCACGTGGTCTCCCAGCAATGCTACTAGTCCCACGCACAATGTGGCCACAGTCCTATTCATCCATATCATCCACAGCATTATATCGCAGTTTTAAGGTTGTGGCTGGCATTTCCATCACATTCTGTATCCAAACAGGAACGTTCCTTTAAAATGTGTGTAGTACAACACAAGCCGCCCCCCACATTAATACACCAACCATGCGTAACTTTAACGGGTGCTGGAAACATCCACAGCCACAAAAAAAAAGGACAAACTTTGTTTTATATGCGACTTATCAGGGACTGAACAAAATGCATCTTGGAAAACGATAGTTCGGGGAACGATGGACAGAGGTTTCACTGTAATAGTACACAACGAACAAGCAATGAGCAAACTGACATCAAGACTGCCCCAAAGCTGCAAGTTCTAGACAGTGGGTACAGATGACTCACATTTCAAATTCAAACTGCGCGCACAGTAATTCCAGAGATGCCAGTTCGTTAAGACATTCCACATATTTTATGGACACCAAAGGTGTTTTGCCATGATTACAAGTCTATTGTGGTCCCTTATCCTGAGCCAAATGAAATCGCCCACAGTCAATAACCGTTTTTAAAGAACCACCGTAATAACATCCCACCTACACCAAAGTTTCAGAAGCAGTCTTCGCTTTAGGTTCTGCAACCAAGACCCTAAAACCACGTATACACTTTCACCCAATGTCCTACACGTGCCCCACCCATTTCATCACACACGATAAAAATAAGCAGCAATTTGGAGCTCAAACACCCGCAATATACGCTCTTTCCTTAACATGAGAGACCAAGTTCTGCACCCTTACAAAACATAAGGTACTATGAAGGCACTGTTTATTCAAATGTTCAAAATTTCAGACAGACAAAGAAATATTCTGAAGTGCACGGTAGTAAGCATTGCTCAAATTTAATATTCTCTTTCTTTCTTCATGAATGCTACTTTCATTTGTTAAACTCTCGAACTCTGCCACATTATCAACATCTGTTAATTA